ACCTGCCCCTTCCATAGCTTACATTTTTCATTTGGGTTTCAACGTTTACCTTCCAGGCATTCTTGGCCTTCACTCGCTACCAAGCTATTATCTACTGCGCAGCTGTGCACTACCCAGCGTTTTTAGATGTTTTGAGATTACCTCACATTTCATGGTATTTTACAGTAAGCTTTTCACCTGCCCCTTCCATAGCTTACATTTTTCATGTGGGTTTCAACGTTTACCTTCCAGGCATTCTTGGCCTATTGATTTGCTTGGTCCTAGCTTTCACTCGCTACCAAGCTACGATCTACTACGCAGCTCTACCCAGCGATCTTAGATTTTTTTCGTTTACCTTACATTTCATGGTATTTTACAGCAAGCTTTTCACCTGCCCCTTCCATAGCTTACATTTTTCATTTGGGTTTCAACGTTTGCCTTCCAGGCATTCTTGGCCTATTGATTTGCTTGGTCCTAGCTTTCACTCGCTACCAAGCTATGATCTACTACGCAGCTATGCACTACCCAGCGTTTTTAGATGTTTTGAGACTACCTTACATTTCATGGTACTTTACACCAAGCTTTTCACCTGCCCCTTTAATAGCTTACTTTTTCACGCGGGTCTCGGTATATCTCGGTGAGATGTGGAGGATCTTTTGTATGCGTGTAGCCACTTTCTGCATTTGTTCAAGCCAATGGCTTGTGGCAGTGCAAATAGCAGAGTCATCTCCAGCCTCAAGACCACTTAGTTACATTTTTCTTCCCCCCCCCGCAATCATCCGGAGACTCAAAATGTAACTTACCTACGTGGGAGGTCCCTATGTTACATTTACTGAGCCCCCCCCACCCCCTCCCAAACAGTTCACCGTAGATACCTGGGAGGACCTTAACTTACAATTAATTCTGGGCTGGGGACCCCCCGAAAATTGTAACTTACATTTTGGTAGGTCCCCCCCCCAAAACCATGGTTAGTGGGGTAGGGATTATATAAACTGAAAAAAATTGTGCAAAGATTGGGGAGGTTTCCACGCCGATGCAAGCACTGCGTGGCCAGCTGTTCATGCTGATGATGCTCCTGAGGATTGCACAAAGCGCAAGTCACACGCACGCCGTGAGCACGAGACCCAAGCAAAGTCTAAGAAAGTCGAGGCTGAAGCCTACAACTGCGACTGACCTTTAACTTTTACATCAACACCAATGATTCAGGCCTCCCTTACCCAACGTGCAGCCTTTCCTGTACCACAGCCCGCCTATACAAGTGACACTCCAATCAACGCGCCCATCGCCATGGGCTTTGACATGTGCCTTTGGAATGTCCGTTCCTTTAATCTTTAAAGGAAGCCTGAGCCACCTGGCCCTCAACTCACATGCAAGTCAAACACAGGATGAGGCCAAGCGGCGCAGACCAAGCTTTCGCAAATTAGGTGAACAGTGAACACAACCACGGCAAGACAAGAAACCTAGGCTTCTGATTCTGGAGCCACATCGGGGAACTGCCATTGAATATTCACAAGACGGTTTGCGCATGACCTTGAGTCCGTGGAAACTTGGAAAGAATTGAAAGTGCCACAGCAACAGCCACGGCGAAGCAGGGAAGAAGCACCGAGACTGCAGCCACAACAATGCTTTGTGGATGTCACGCGCAAGCCTGGTCACCTACACGACGTGGCTGGAGAGCAGGAACACCAATCCAAACTCAAAATCCGAAGCTGGACCGAGTTCGCAAGACTTCAGAGAAGTGGATATCAAACTGGTGTGTCATCCACTTGTGCAGTTAAAAGTGGGAACAGAGAACCTAAAAGTGCAGGATCGTATGATAACATTGAACCCTGCCCAACACAGCCGCGTTTCTCCCACTAAGAGAACCATGGCCATGTCGGGGAGCCACCCCTGGCGACCAACCAAGGGTGGAGAGGGTGGGTAAAACAAATGAGGGAGCAAATCAGGTGGCTGGGATCTTGAGCCAAAATGTTTTTAAAAAAACACAGGCTCAAGATACCCAGCCACCTCTGTTCCGTTTTCGTTTCCTTGCACCATTTCATGGTTACATGAAACGTCACTACACAACTCCCCCACCCAACCAGCCCAATCTCACATAGCATGTTTTCCGTAAAGCTGGTGTGTCATCCACTTGTACAGTTAAAAGTGGGAACAGAGAACCTAAAAGTGCAGGATCGTATGATAACATTGAACCCTGCCCAACACAGCCACCAACTTTAAAGGTTCTCTGCACATTTCTTACACCGCCTATAACCTGGGCTGATTGTATCACCTTCGTAAACAAGAATGCACGGACAGTCTCCGTTCACCCAAGGCCACCCACATTTCGTGGTCCACCTTCGGGGATCAACGTTGGCGGCAACAAGGGAGCACGGAGTATGCAGTGTCTGTAAATTGACATTCAAAATGTACCGAGGTAGCAATGCCTTTCTAGCTTCCTCTCGAATTGCACTTCTCGCTCTGTCATCATCAAACCAGAGCCCATCCACTTGAAGTTTCTCCTTCATCTGCTCCGCCTGAATCTTTTCAGCGTCCTCCAGTCTCGTCACCTTTCTAAGTAAAGAAGCCACGCTTTCCGCCAACTCAACCTCATCC